AACTCGAAGAATAGTTTACTAAGTCGAATGGATTATACGTATTGTATTCCGTTCCGCAATTGGCTACGAATTAAATCAAAAATAATATAAAGCTGACAGTCAAACCTCTAAAAGAAATATTTTAATATCTAACAGGTATACAAACTATATAGTCCTAGTACTGTAACTGATAAGTTAAGAAAAGCTACTAAAGAATTCCTTTAAACATGCATTTTAGTTCAACGATTTCTCAAAACCAATACCAATAACAATCACACTTAAAATGAAAATTTTTTACAATGCTTAGTACATGTCCATTACTACAGATATAAATTTAAATTTCTTATAAATCCAACCAATATTAATTATATTCACTTATTCACAACTTTCGAGTAAACTTTCCTAAGCCAACAAACTCGTCAGCTGTTATCAGCGCCAGAGATGACGTCACACGGCTCATGTACGGTCAATGCAGCAGAAGTAAAGAACTCGAGGGGGAACTTATCGATATTCGATAAATAGTCGATATGGCAGATATCGCGGATGCACAATAATCGAAGATAGGCCGGCAAGATTGCGCAGCGTTAGATAAGGGTATATTCAATATAGGGAGGGACAAAGGGGCGATACAATAGCAATAATTGGGTCCACTGTAGCCGGGCCGGACTGCATTGTTTATGCGGCTTATGTTGGTACACCTGTATTAATAATGGTCAATTACTCCGGCCTTACAAAGGTAATGCTGTTAGTGCCCCCATTAATAATACGCCGCCATCAAATACAATGATTTCCCGATTTACACTTTGCCCGAAATTGGATCGGTTTTGTTTCGTCGTTATCAGCTGGTATTTGGTGTATTGGTGTTTTAGCGGTTAACGCTCGCGATAAGACTGTAAATTATTGTTGGTGTTGAAATATAAAAATTAAAGTGGTCTCTGACACTGCCTTTTTATGTTGTGTTTGTACCCTGTATCTGTACATGAAAAATATACCTTATCTACTTGGCTGAATTGTACACAATGATAGATCAAGAACCAAGCTAAATCAGAGACTGTTTATGTCCCATTGCCCCTGGCTACGCCCTGTGGACGACCAAACTCCGGGGAAGAGCACTTGGAAGTAGATATTAATTTTTATCCTTGGCAAAAAATTACTTTATTATTAAGATGAATACTTTTTTACACTTTGATACGCACTTTTAATGTAAGATATTCGTATATAAAGAAGATACAGATGAAGATCACCCTATTACTCTGTAGGTTACTAAGACACACCCCTTTCCCACCCCTCTAGTCGTCACGCCCTCACCTCCAAACACAACGTTATTTTATTCATCCGGGCGACAAACTGGCTGAATGCTATTTAAATAATGCAAAACGCTCACAGATCCAATTTATCCTACTCCATTATGACTGTCGAATCGAGCCTTTTAAAAATGGAAATAACTCCTAACATTTCCCCCCGGGACCGACTGGGGCTGTTACCGACTTTACCGTTCCAGATAAGAAACGCACTTGTTTTCGGTCTAAGGGACGATTTTTTTTGGAACTTTATTGTCTCTGAGTTTCTCTTGGTTGATGTCAAGATTGTGTTGAAAGAATAAGATTTTTTAATTTAATTGTAGTAAAATCTCACTTAAAAGGCAGCACTAATAAATTAAAGGTTTTTAAAGAGATTACGAAAAGAAGCATATTTTTACTTGGGTACACATTATGTGTCCAAAAAAAGAATTGGTCATGGCAAAATACCTCCATAACTATGCATGACTAATAACGAAGTTGGCCTTTTATCATGCCTTAGTATCATGCGTGGCATAAATAGACTAGACGAAAAAATAGCTTGCAATATCAAAATTTGCTTCGGATATTTAGCCAGTGATACGTTCAACTTCTGCCCTTATACGCAACCCTAAAATGTTTTACAAGTTGATTCCGAGAGTTGTTTGAAAACAGTTATATTATGGAGGTAAACAATATAAAAAATATAGTTTTTTGTTTTAGTTAGTATTGTGAAGTGTGACGGAAAAATATAGTTCTTCACAAGGTTTATAATTTTTTCAACAATGTTATTTTCACTAGAATATTTTCAAAAACAGTTAATGAAGGAGTCGGATGTGAAGGGTCGTACTAGAAAATAGGAAATATATTCTAAATACGTGTGAAACTACAATAGAATTGCCCTAAAGTACTACTTTAAGTGACTAAATCACAACTGACTCGTACACCATCAATGTGATAGACATATCACAGAGGGAGTGGTATGATGATTAGTGATGTTGTCAGTTCTATACCTCACCGTCCCGTCGCCGCTGCCGTGGAAGAAGTAAATGATCCTCCAAGATTGCAAGTCATCTTCAATTTACCACCAATGTTTGTTTCTAGACCCTCTTTCGTCTGATTTTATCTAAACCATTTACAATTTCCCCCCAGTCTGTCAGCGGCGTGCGGCTCCGCATCCGATCTGCTTAGCTAATTATTTACTTCTTCCATTCATCACGTTCAGGCTCATTGGATTTATTTGTTGATGAGGAGAAGATTATTGTCATAGACTGCGAATCGAAATGGGATACTGGCTACTAAATTGACACCGGTAAAAAATTAGAAAGAGTTGGTAGTTTAAAAAGTATGTTTGCTATCCAGAAAGACAAATGAAGCCTGGAAGCCTTACTTCCTCAAACCGATGGTTCCTTCCTATTATTTAACTAACTGATATTTCTGTTGGCAATCAGATGCTTGTCTGAAAGTCATAGGAGGAAAGGGAAATGATTCAGATCAGCGTTTTTCTCTTAAATGGCTCATTTCTCAGGGTTCACTTATAGTCAGCAGTACCACATGAACACTACATGCACAGTTTTCGTCACACCAACTCTAAAACTCACCACCCTTGATGAATTTGGACCTTTTACTAGTTACCAATACTGTACACCCTTACCCAACTTCAAACGCCCCCGTATCTTTTCGACCGTGCACATGTTTCCCAAATCTGCCGTGAAGGGTGTTGATCGGTTACCTATAACCGATAATTGCAAGGTAAAGGCAGGGTGAAGGGCGGTCTCTTTGGCGGGAATGTGTGATTGGTCAGCTGATGATAGGTTGTCACGGCGGGTAACTAACACTGTGACGTCATAGTCACAGTCCTTTGTCTGTCACCTGCTCTGTCATTACCTCCTGTCATGTTAGATAAGGCTGATAAGGTTCAAGGTTGTTTGTGGCAGGTCACAGGGCGTCGCTTTGAGCGAAAGTCATCTTGTGTGATATTTCGGTAGCGATCACCGATCACCTTGGTGTTGGACGTGTATGGTCCTATGTTATCACAGATGTTGTGCTTTGAATATAAATTGAACATAATGGTTGTTGAAAGTGTAATTGAAAGTTGTTCTGCAAATATTACATTTTCGAAAGTGTTAAAAGTACGTGTAAAACCATTTATGTTTAAACTGTTATCCCATATGTTTTTGAGATCGAAGATTGGTCACGCAGGCAAATGATTCTTATTGAAGGGGTATGTCAGTATTTCACCCATCATTTTACCACCGTTTGTGTTGCTGTTGATAATCAGAATAAAGATTGTTGCTGACCAAGTTAAGTTGAGTCCAGTTTCTTGTGAAGGCCTGTTTAAATTTTAGTTCGTACTAATCGCATTTTAAACTCGAATGTCTGCTGTACAATGTAACAAAACCACTTGTACGAGGTGCATTATTCGATGACAAGTCAAATACGTAAGTAAAACTAGTAAGGAATACAAACTCTGTAACTGATCACCCTTGACTACAAACAATACAATCCCACAGCCCACGTCGCGGCGATGACGAAAGCGTCAGAATCGTTCCAAGGTGGTCCCTAATTAAGGTAGACAATGGGCGACCGAGTCAAAAATATCAATTTTCGATCGCCGGTCTGATTGGCCCGGGACACAATAAAAGCCAACCTCTCATTGGTCGATTGTTGAATAAAGTAATTTGAAAACAAGAGGGACCTGGCGGCCTCTTTGATGGAGGACAATGCGTCTGCCATTCCTACATCAATCATCACGAGCTATAATCATCTATGGAGATCCTATGCAAATCACACGTTCGCCACAAACAACCATTTATATTCTAAATATTTCACCGAATGGTCCCTCAAATTACCGTTTTGGGCGTAATTGTTCTCGTGATTCAAATTGGCTTAATAGTTTCACGCGGTAATTGTGACGTTTCGCCGAGTGGTTTTGTGTAATTGTAATCGCTCCGATCGACTCATCAACTTTATCCGAATCTTCGTATGCACAAAGTATCCTCTAACGAACGGTGTTTTCGCACATTATCAAACGGTTTCCTGTTTTGTGCTAATTTATCTGCATAACTATCGCACAAGTGCACAGACGTTTGTTCATTACTTGAGTTTCCGCGCGACCCATTAGTTTTAATTAAACATATGTATTAAGTTGAATAACCTCCATTATGTTAGCAGTTTGGGAATTATACATGCTAATTTTTGCAGTTTTGGTTGCGCTTGGGGTGAAGATAAATGTCAAAATCATAAACAAACTAGAACGTTGATAGAGGAAAACAACTGACAAAATGCCATTACGAGGTGCTTTTGAAATACCACAGTCTTCTTAGAATTTGCAATTTAAATGCAACTACAAGTTGATATAAAAAATCAAGTACTGGCACTAAAGGACCATATCAGATGCAGCAACTGATTTCAATAACTCTTGCATTTAACAGTGTAAATATAATAAACACACTGGTCAATACTGTTTGACAAAGACTTACCTTGCAATCCTGTGATGATAACAGAAAACACACCAATCGTAAAATAGCACCTGAAACAACAGAAAATAGTTTGAATGTTATTGATTGCATTACATGTAATCATTACATTCCATGCTTGTGACAGTTATACCTTATTCTAGTTGCGCTTTCTATAAACACTTGCGCTGACAATTGACCGTTTAACATTTCCACCTACAGTATGCTACACTTGGTCTGTCCCTGTTTCCTACAGTATGCTACAGTTGGTCTGTCCCTGTTTCAGTGCTGTACCAGAAGCGGCTGAAGAAGGAGAGGAAGGCTCGACGGCGGCTGCAAGATCAGCTGGAGTTGGAGATGAAGAGAAGACAACAGCTGGAGGAGGCGCTGAAGAACTCCGGGGCCCCTCCTGAGGCTCTACGCATCCTCAACGGTAACTGAAATTTTTTTACATAGTATCATAGTCAAACTCTCAACTTGCTCAGTCGGTAGCGCCAGTCTGGTACCTAAACTACTTTTATCAGTACATTATATCGGCTCACCCCTTGCTTTGCTGGTGCTGGATACGTTCCAGCAAATGCAAACGTAGCCTGGACCGAGGCCTACAAACGAAAGGGTTAAAGTGAGTAATTGGTTAAAATTATCTGAGAACCTCTTTAAAAAAAGAACGAATTTATCTAAGTCAACGTTATTTTACTTACTTTGTCTACGATCTATACCTGTGTGTTAAGAGATGATAAATCGATTTATGGAAGGCGGAACAAACGTCTCTGTTTCGGACCTGTCACACTAGCACCAAAAACCGAAAAGTTAACCGTTTGGGTGGTGTAATACATTATCTTTTAACTAGGGTTGTCCGGAAAAAAATCTTTAGATAGTAGACATCTCTGAAGAATTGGAAAATCTTCAACCAACAAACTCATTCCAGGGAATACGAGTTACTCGCGTTTATGTTTAGGTGGTTGAATTAATTCAATCAATTACCCTAGCAATCTTGACGAAACAGAAATCACTGCAGGTTAATGCCTTTGGGGGCAAGAAAAGCACGAACTTGGACTCAGACTAGCATCAGAAAATCCTTTTGTTGGTGGAGTATTAATTGTTTTAATTTGGAACCGAATGAGAAATTAATAGTTTAAGCCCCCTTCTGGAACAACACAGGTTAAGTTCAAAATTCTGTAATTCAAACAATGCATTAAACGTGGATGCGATCAAATAATAATTCATTCCCTCATGTTGCCCGACTCCTTATTTATGTTCATACATAAATATACACAAACTATACTTAAAGCGAATAAATAGCTATTTGCCTGACAAATGGACATAAATTGGTAAACATTTTAATTGGTGGATGAAAAAATAACTTTCTTTGTTGTTGTTGTAGGATGAGCCATTGTTTTGATCAAGACTAGTTGTTTTAACTATGTTACGGTATACTAACAATATTTATAAATAACCATATGCAGTGTGGCTGTGAGTACTCGCATTAGAATGACATCTTACAAAACCTCCGCAAATGTAAAACAGAACAGAACCCTCCCTAGAGCATTCTCAAAGTGATCGACTCCATCGCGGATTGCGAGATTGTCACATGCAATGCGAGCCTGGTAATTACAAAATTCCGATGACAGGTTTGATTCCCGCTCAATCAAGAAAGTTGGCACAACTGTTTAAGACGTTTCACTAATGCCAAGTCTAATTGGAAGTTGTCAGGACTGCCAAAACAGCAACTTGCAAATCTTGAGAATATCGGGGCCGACGTCCCCCCTTGCTCGGCAGGGGTGCTAAATGCTACCCTGCCTACGGGGAAGTCTAAGTTCATCATCTGTATTTACTTCTTAATCTGTTCTTATTAACTCTACGGGGGAGACAGGAATGAAACGGCAGAATTCATCCCGCGGGGGAATAAGCTATTTAATACAGAGTCGGATTAATATTTGGCGGTTTATTCAAATATTTGCTCCGGCGAGGTGGTACCGCGGAAGGATTAAATTTAGTCATATTTATCGTTTAATTGTGCGTGTAACATTTAGCTGCAAGTTTAAACTTTTCTCTCACTAGTTGTTAAATAAAAATAAATACTATTTGCTTTAAATATTTTATCCTCAATGGTGTAACCAAGGTATCATTGTGTTATCTATCATCCGTGAGTTGTTTCTTAGTCTTTTTGCTATCTTGATAGTCATTACCAGTACGTTTTTCAGTTTCAGTTGTATTAATAGTGTTATCCATTGTAGTACAATCAATATCATAATGTTTACAAAGGTATAAGAAATTTGAGAATCAGAGCACATAGTATGTACCTTACAGTTGTATATCGATCTCCGAATCAAATCCTAACCTCTGCTGCAAGTTTCCCAATTACTGTCAAATATATTTAAATCACCTTAATTTTCGATAGTCAAATATTTTTACAGACTAGTTAAGTCTAATCTATTTATTCTTTAGGAATTTTTTTATTTCTGGTTACGACATTAGTATTTTGTATGAAATATGCTCAGACACAGAGAGAAAGCGGTCTAAATGAAATTGTTATGTCAATGCTCGAACTCGAACGCGTCACTTCCTTACCGATATTCAGGATGCTAAACACTATGCTAGAAAACACTCCCAAATTAAAGGATGTTCATAAAATAAAATATTTTAGAAAACATTTTAACAAATTTTTTTTCAGAGTCGTCCGCAGAACCCGCAGCGCCCCCGCCTCCTCGCACGGCGCCCTCTACACCTCAGCAGCGCCCCACGACAGAGGCCGAGACCACGGCGCCACCAGCCTACCCGCCCCAGCGCCCCCCGCCACCAGAGGCGCCACCAGCCGAGAAACAGTGGAACTACTCGGGTCTGGACCTCATCAACTCCGGCGCCGCCTTCTGGCAGAACTATTCTGGTGAGAAATCTTATAACCCATGTAGCTATTATAACAACGGTAAGTGACATAAGTGAGATGTGCAAGTAGACCCTCACATCTTCCAGTACTAACCAACTTGGTGAACATTAGCAGAGTACATGGTAAATATTTTGGGAATAAAATCGTTGAAAAGGAAACAGCTCTGCGTTGTTAGTTAGCATTTACACATGTCACTCACTGTAAACTAAACATACAGTAGTTATAGCTATAGATGAAACCTTTATTAAGGAGTTTCCTGAAGACTATACCCATGTTTGAGTTTGATTGGGCAATTTATGGTGATTCCCAATGCGATTTCACAATATACAAACATAATATCCACGAGGGTAAAAGATTCCTTTATTGTCATCCGCTGTATTATAATTCTCGTTTACTAAAACTACCCTCGGCCAATTACGTCATTATGTACTCAACCATAAGGTTTAATAAATCTAGTTCGAGTCGTTTACAAGAACAAGGAAGCCCAATTACTCCAAGACAATAGCCAATCTATATCTAAGGTACCCCGGGGAAAAATTAAAATTGACGACGTTCAATCCGCCACCGGTCATTGGTTACAGTCCGGTGTATGCAGAACGTTTATGGGTCGCCAAGTCATTAAATCATTGTCACGATAATCTTAAAGATTTCCAATTAACAACCCAATCTATATTTTCAATCATTGCAGAAAAGTGTATAAAAGACGAATTTGTAATTCGTGTTTTGTATTCACGACGAATTGTTACTTTCAATGCGAATTACCTACTTTGACTGTATTGTTAATCAACTAGACGATGTTTTATTGCTCAGATCTGTTTTTAATATTGTATTTGGCGTATGGAGAACTAAATAATGATATGTTTACTCAGTGAGATAAAACTTGATCAATCATCAAGCTATTTACTTATTGAGATAATCTTTTATACGTTCTCTCCCTCTTAAGTTATCCTACACGGATAGTTTTAGATTATCGAGCCTTTGACTAATTGTGGCAATCTTCGATACGTCCCAATCGCATTTAGTGCATTACTAGACTTTATTTTGTCCAGCCATTCCATGATTGTCCCGGTCTTAAACATTCCAATCGCTAAGAAAATCAGCTATGGAATCGAATAAATATTTGCGATCTTCTTCCGCGATTCCTTTGCACCACTTGTAAAGCTCTGTCCAGTATTTGTGTTGCTCGAATGTTTTTCGATAACCTTCTTCAGTCTATTGAGTCATTGTTGTGTTCTCCTTAAACCATAAAATCATATTTTACATATTTTTCGAGTTACTGAATCTTAATCGCAGCTCTCGTGAAGTCCTAGTTTTGACGTACGAATTTATTAATACTTGTCAATAATCGGATCGCATCTCGGATCATCTCGAGCGATAGATGAGTCCGGTGAACGATGTTTGTCGATCATTGGATCGCATCTAGGATCATCTCGAGCGATAGATGAGTCCGGTGAACGATGTTTGTCGATCATTGGATCGCATCTAGGATCATCTGGAACGATAGATGAGTCCGGTGAACGATGTTTGTCGATCATGGAGTCATTGTAGATCTAATTAACGACGAGTCATGGAGTAACGCAGTCCCGCTGGGAAATCTTCCTACCTGTTTACCGGTGAACTACCTCCGCCTCGGCGCTAAATTATACTTAATATTGCAAACAATCTGTAATCCAATCATAGTGTTTACTCGGATATTTCTCTGATGTGAGCAGTCACGCTTTGGAAAGTCAAACACCGTGACCCGCGCCTGGGAATGTTGTTACTGTAAATGTCAGTTTTTGGAGCTCCAAAGAGCTATTACTCGGGTCACGAGTGTGCACATGATGAAATTCTATGCACCATTCAGTGTCATTAAGTCTCCGACTCTAATTGGTAAATAGAACGTAATAGGTCCTCTTACGTTGCGGAGCTGCTATTTACGTATATAAATGTCCATTGTGCATCATGTGCTTTAGGGGTTTCGTCGGTGTGTTAGTTTCCAATTTCGTAGAGTTTTGTTGGCTTTTATTTTTTTTTTTAAACCTTGTATTTTTTCCTAAATATTATTCCCCACGTTATCTGTGTCCATTTAAGACAATTATTCCGTAAAAAAACTCAACCGTAAGCTTTTTTATAAATTAATTCGATCTATTCAAGTAACACACAATGTTTACTGACTCTTCTTAATTTATCTACTGCATATTGTGCAGTGTGCTAGGTAGCCTTAAAACTAAAGACAATTCTATTCCTTGAAAAAAAAAAATCTGTTACCATTAACCTTAACAGTTAGGAGATATTGATTAAACACAATTGCACAAGTTGGAGAGATTTTCTACAAGCTACTACCGATGTGCATAAATGCTAAACCATTTATATGAAATGCCATTAAATTAAATTTCACTAAATATACGTCAATGGTCCTTCGAGTCGTATGACAGGACCGCAGTAATGGTACTCTAATACATATTCCAAACCGCAGTTTATCTGCAATCTTCAACAACTTTCGACCACATTACCGATTCAGCGCCTTCTGGTGTTTTTCAAATGAAGTCGTCGATGGTCCTTCGAGCCGGATGACAGGACCCAGGACCGCAGTAATGATAGCCTGATACAATCGAGCCGCACCGGTACGGCACGCCGACTGCCGCGACGTGATCCTGCTCGCCCGGCTAGAGTTCGAATTGCTTTTTAATTCTAATAATAGAGGCGTTCCCGAGCGTTCAGCTCAAATTGTCGGCGCGTGTGCCGCCTGTAATGTCAGGACGTGTATTCGAGATGGTATCGTGGAAATCGTCTACGTTCCCGAACAATTACATTTCTCATGGCGATCCCGCGCCGGTATTTCACCGAGCATCGTGCTCTTTTTGTTGGCAACTGTCTCCCGGATCTAAGATGGTCTCCAGCGCTCACTTGTGAATGCTCAAGTGTCTTATACAATCCGAAAATTAGACGATGTGTAAAGAATTACACTAACGAATTTGAAGGGACTAATTAATTTACCCAATTGCAAGATTTTATCGAACCGACGGTAACCGAAGAGGTTCGATAGTTCAGCTTGGTTTGGTTAAATTCTTTGATATAGATGTTTTTCACATCAAAACCTATTGTACCGTACATAACACATTAATAATAACTTACATGCCTATAGCACCTTTAGGAATACATAGGTGTACGTTAATTTTCCAGAACATAGTGGTAAATAAATCAAAAGTACGTATGTTTATTGTTATCCTGACTGTGGTAAGAATTTTGAAACTGGCATCCATTTAAAAAATTTTAAACCTACATGAATACAATACCAGTAAATCTACGACATTTTTCAACACAATCTCTTATCGCTTTAAAAACGTCTCCACATAAGACTCAATTTCCCTCACCAATAACACTGCTGCAACGTCGTTCCTATATAATCGCACTCAAAATAATGCAAGACCTATAAACCCGTATTAGCTTCTGCAGAACCATGAATACTAAATGCCCCCATAAAACTACAAGTCGGCGAGGTGACAATGAAGACAGGGAAACCCTCTTATCCCATCTCCATATCGTATGTATACGCAGTTAAATCTGCGAGGTTATTGCAAATGATCCACTCGACATGCATGATCCTCGCATGCAGATCGGCCCAATAATCCCCCTCTGTCGGCAATCGCGGGAAAAATCTCAGATAATCCGGCGGGAAAGTGACGGAACAGCTGATGGGGAGGATAAAAATATGAGTGGTTGATTATGTGACTTTCGGGGAGATGTGTCGTTTGCGGTTTCTGATTACTACAGGGATCAATGTTGATTTTTAGCAGACTTACGGAAAATGTTGGATATTGAAAAGGTACTGATTACCAATCTGTAAAATAAACAATTAATTTTACAACAATTAGAGTATCAAAGTTTCTTCAGTATTTACTTAAACATGTGTGTTATAGCTATCACACTAAAAACATTTTTTTAAAGTTAAAAATGTAGTACTAAATTACCAATAAATTTACTATATATCTCAGTAGTCTTTCTACAGGAAATACGCTTCAAAAATACGTTTACAACCCAGGAGAGATGACAACCTAAAAAAGCTCAAGGATATTTTGCCAAACCAATTTCAGTAGGTCAATCAATTTTTATTGTATGACCCTCTTTAGTGAAACGTGGAATTTCAGATCTGCTAGCCAACGATCGAGTACAATCCTTCAGTGACCACAATCCTAGGTGGCACACGCCACAATTTCTACTACTCAAATCAAAATCATACTCAAATCTCCTACACATGGTTCAAACGTTCCCCCATCAAGGTATGAATTACACGGACCCTAACGAGAGTTGCAAATACCCCTGAAATTGGAGTCTAAATCCACCACATGTCGATGGCAAGTTAATCGTGAACCGATAAAAGTCCAAATTTCCACGAGCCTCGAGTCTCAAACTTCGTTAACACAGGTACACACACGCTACAGCGCATTTAATTGTTCTCTTTTCCGATCGGGTAAACCGCGGAATAAAAAACGGACCCAATTCCTCTCAATTTCACGGCAATCCGGCAATAGCCGATTGAATCTTCAGCAAGTGACCCTTCTCATTCCCCTTCTAAATCCGGTAATGCCGAAATTGCGATTTTTAATTTGTGTAATCTTTCCCGGTTATGAGTATCGTTACAACCTGTTAAGACTATCAGGTTTGGATGTTTCAATTTGTCGAGTGAAGGGGTTTGTATAGGTTGCAAATGCAAAATATCGAGTGAGGAACTTTTTGTTGCAATTATCGTTTTGCACCTTTCTAAACGAATATTGTTTTATTTCAATCCTTGATCCTAGTATTGTTTCATTTGGAAACTAATGGGTTGGTCTCGAAAATATGTCTATGAAGATTTTGTAAATTTGTCTTCCTCGTCGAATATAGCATGTAAGCTATATTCGAAGATAGTAGAATACTAGAAGATAGCAGTGAAAATGGTAGAATTCCTATCTAACCCCATACACTTGTGGTAAAACTTGTGAGCAAAAATAAATAGTTGCATTACGATCACCACGTTT